TTTCGAATAAAATAATCAAAGTCTACACTAGTTAAATGATATAACCAATTAGGGGTAATATATCTAAATTGAGGAATTGAAAATTCTCCAAGTACAGACAATAATCTCTGCACTCTATTTACAACAGTTAAGAATCGAGCACCATTTTGACCAGTTATTTGTTGAACTTCTTGTTTCAGTTGTTTCATAGTTAGTTGTCGCTTAACAAGATCTTTTGATAATAATGACCAAGATTTCAAGTATGCAAAGAGTCGTTGTCCATTTGTTTTTGTAGTATCAATGGCAACACTTACAAGAGATAGGATATCTCCTTTATCATATAATTCAAGGTCAAAGTCAACTTCAGCATTACATGCATCTTCAATATATCTGTTAAAGTTTTGAGGTCATGTTCATTAGTAGTGAGTAGGAATTGTTAGAGAGGTTTGTTGAGAACTACTTTGTACAATAATTTGTGTAGAGGTCATTTGTATATTAACAGAAGTGTAATCTAATTGTAAACTTTAGTAAAGTTCTAATAATCTAACATGTTGAGTTTCTGAAAGTTGAAGTTTCATGATTTGTAAAATTTTCAGAACTTGAGAAAAATAAGGTCCTTTATATAATAAAATTTGTATTCAGATATTTAATTAAACTTTGATTAATTTGAGGTGATTATCACATAAGGTTCTACAAGATGCCTTTGTTTATAATGTTTTAATCTCTCTACATGAACAGGATTAGATAATGTATTACTAATTTTATCCTTTATCAAGTAAATCTTATTACCTAACTTCTTTTCTATCCAAAATGGTCCTGTCCATTTAGGATTAAAATTTTGTCTATACACTTGTCTTTTAGCAGAATCATATAATAATACGATATCATTTTCGTGATACTCATGAGCTTTAGTCAAATGTTTTTGTCTTTCCTTTTGTAACTCTTGTACACTTGTTACATTTCTTGAAGAAATTATGAGTGCATTAGTGAAGGTTCCTATTAAAGAACTGATCCTTCATTTTAAAACCTCTTCATAAGTTAAACAGAATAATTTTCCTTATCATTAAACTTGACATCAATAGGAAGTTATGCTTTTCTTCCATGTACCAAATAAAAAGAAGTATACTTTGTTAATTCATGCTTTAAGGTACGATAAGCAAAAAGTACTGAAGGTATCAACTGATCCCAATTAGACTGACTGTTTTGTAAACATTTTGCAATGGATCTGCACAAGGTTCCATTAAATCTTTCTGTTAATCCATTCATTTGAGGATGGTAAGATGATACCAATTTGTGTTGAAATCCTATTTCCTCCTTTAAAAGTTTGATTGTATCATTTACAAAATGAACACCTCTATTAGACAAAATTATAGATGGGATTTCATGTCGACAAATAATTTCCTCATAGAGAAATCGAGCAGCTTCTTTAGCTGTTGCTGTTTTTACGGCACGTGCTTCAGGCCATTTGGTGAAATAATCTGTTACTACTATGATGTATCTGTTTTCATTTTCAGTTGTTTCCAAAGGTTCAACATAATCAATTCCTATTTGAAAGAAGGGTCGAACAACTGGTATAGATTTAGTCAATTGTATCTTTCGGGGATTACCAAATCTTTAACAACTATCACAAGATTCGATATATACTTAAATATCTTTTCCCATTGTAGGTCAGTAATATTTTTCCATAGCTTTCTCAATTGTTTTCTTGAATCCAAAATGTCCTCCTAAGGGGGATGAATGTAGATCATATAGAATTTGTTCTCTGTCCTGCAGAGTTATTACTCATAATGGTTTATCAAAATTGTTTTTGTTTTTCTTTAATAATTGCCCTTGTTCTATCAAATATTGTGTCGCTTGCCTTACTAATCTTTGTTTGTTACTTGTTATGAAATTTTCTGAATATTTATAAAATAATAAATAATTAATGAGGTTATTATACACTTCCAAGTCTATTTTGAGTGATTTATTTTGTGTTTATTTATAAGATTAAATTAATATAAGAAATTCAGGAGACTGTGCACTGGAGTGGTTTCTAGCCTTGAAAGTGCGTCAGCATTGATATGGTCATTACCTTTCCTCTTTAAAATAATATATAGTTTGTATTCTGATAAATGAATTATCCAGCGGGCTAACCTTCCTTTGAGTTGTTTATGTTTTTTGAACCAGGGTATTGCTTTGTGATCAGTAACAATACAAAATTGAGATCTTTGCAAAAAGTGATGAAAATATTTAGTTGCCCAAATTACGGCAAGACATTCCTTTTCGGTCACAGTATAATTTTGTTCAGCATTATTTAAGATTCAGCTAGCATAGGCAATCACATGTTCCTTTCCTTGGTTATCGTTCTGGGCGAGTACTGCTCCTACAGCATAATCGGAAGTATCAGTGTGAAGAATAAAGAAGTTTATAGTCCTTCCCCGTAGGTACAAGACTTCCAATTTGATTGTTTCTTGAATTTTAGAAGGCACCAGTTAGTTTTTAGATAGAACTAACAAACTAATATTCATCCACTATAATCATAATACA